GTGTGTGTGTGTGTGTGTGTGTGTGTGTGTGTGTGTGTGTGTGTGTGTGTGTGTGTGTGTTTAAAAAAAAGAAAAGGAAAAGCTCTGTATGGCTGCGGGGAGTGTGAGAAGCTAGGTGTTTTGACAGCTTTAGAGTAGTTCCAGTACAGAGCCTGGGGCAGGGGTTGTGTGGGCCTGTTGGACAACTGGGTGAGCTGGAGGGGTGAGCCCAGGGTCAGTTGGGGGGAGCAGAAAGGATCGGATCAGATGAGTGCAACCATGTTCTCCTGAAATGCACCATGGCTATTAAAATGATACTTGATATGTGTTTCTTAGGGAAACTCATGATATCATTTGAAATTTGGCCAAGTGAGCCTCACTTACACAACAAGGCAAACAAAGACTTGACTGAAACACCAGCAGCTGAAACTGGATATTACAAACTTTTTCACGTGGAAGAATCAAACACTGCACAGGGAGGAAACAGACATTTTAAAGCAATACTTTATGTTCTGGGTATGTAACCCTTTTTGGTGAGATCAGATGTTATAATACTTTTTAAGGAGAATAATTTCTCAAATTATGGGAGATTCTGGCCCACTGATTTGCAAAAATTGCATAATTCTATAAGACTAAGTGTTGGACCGTATCACATGCTTATGTTTCATATCACATGTTTCAAGGCCAAATGACACATTTTTTCATGATTTAAGTCTGTGAGACTAAATCTTTAGCTTGTATCTCTTTTGTGGCTTGACTCATTGTAGACACTATCCATTTTTAAACATTTGCTTTCAAAAACTCATTTTAAAAACTAACAAAGCCAAAAAATAAAAAGACAAAAACAATTCCCTTCTTTTCTGCTTTCAAGTCATAAAATAAAATATGCAGAAACTTATCCTGCTTATGAATCAAATATTGCATATTTTGTTATTTATGAATATTATTTTTATCTATCTTAAGGCTAAATATGCAGTTTGTTTTTGTCCTTTAATTTTCCTGGAGCTTCTCATGGCTCCACTTTTGTTTCCTGATCCCAAGCAGGGTCCCAACTTCAACTTTGGGAAATGTATCCAAGTGACTGCTCCCAAAACATGATCATTCCACCACCATGCTATAAAAATAGATTTTTTACAGAGGTCTGCACCCTTTCTTTAGAAAGCAGGCAAGTAAATATTAGTCTCAAATCTGTAATGTCTTCCTGAAGGTTTTATTCAATCAACAAGATTAACGAGAGGGGAATGAATTATTCATGCCTATATGCTGAGCCATAGAGCTACCAAATTTCACACATGTAAAAAAACAATATGTTTCTTATAAAAAAATAAAAATAATTGTCACTGTATTTGGAGTTAAATAAAAACAAACCAAGCTTTAATATCATCAAAAAAAAATGAAAAATGTTCATTTTATAGGATCTCAGGAGTTGGATGATTGTAAATTCAGAGTGGACAACAAGTTGTCCCAGTAGAAGAAAGTGTTTGAAGTAGCCATGCCAAAGCGTGATCTCAGCTCATTCTCCTAACTTTAATCTGGCTGAAATGGGACGGCTCTGGGAGAACTGGAGAAAACACAGTCCCTTTTTGTCCTACTGTAATTAAAAAGGCCAGACATCACCTCTGACTGGCTGTTTGAGAGTTCTCACACAAGTTCACCTCTCCAACAAAAGAAGCTGCCTCTCCACAGCTCCAAGGCCTCTTGGTGCCAGTGGTGCTGAACCCCTGCTCTCTCCACCAGCATTCCAGACCATCCTTCATGCTGCTGCATTCTGACTATGCCAGCTATAGGTCAGGGAGCAGTATTTTCTCAGGCCTGCAAGACAACACTGAACAAAATAATAATAATAATAAAAGAAATATCCATTGTTGAACTAACCCTAGGGGTTAGGGTTCTCTTGTTCTGCACCTTAAAAAGCATGCATGTGTTTGAGACGGCAGAGGTGTTGTGAAAGCTGCATTTATCATCTTGTAACATTCTATAGAGTTTATTCATTTAGTTGCAAAATTATTCACATCAACAGCTTTAATGTTATCTTTTTGGCAAAAAAATGATTTTTTTGTTGCATCCATTAGTCTTGTGGGACAGGACTGACCTAATGCGACACAGAGTGGATTCCTTCTTTGTTTCCCTGGGCTCAGTACCAAATTCCACCAGTAGATGTCTGTCTCCAGTCTTGCACAGTCACTGATTAAATTTAGCAAGAAGACAGTCCAGGGTCCACGCATGTCCACCCACTGCAGAACCTAAACAGATTGAACCGTTTCATAAAATGTTGTACAAGAGAAATTCCACATTCACCCATCCTGAGCTGCAGTTGTGAAAAGCTGCCCTAACAGATGAACTCAAAAGACACAGAAACCTGCAGCAGAGCTCTCAAAGCTGAAATAGGCAATTGCTTTCCTGACAGATGAGCTGAGTGTTCGTGCCTCTTGGCAGCAAAGAAACATTTTCCCCCCACTTCTCTGGTACATTTTAACATCCCAGGAATGAATTCCCACGCCACTGAAAAGGGCACGAGTTTAGTAATTTCACACGATCCAATCAATGATCTACTTTTTTGAATGTGGTTTGAGGAGGCACAGTTGCTATGAGGTAGTTGCTATGCCTGATTACCCAGAATAACTGTAGAACAAAACAATCTATGCTTTGCCCAACAATATTATTATATAACTTTAATGTCTTTTTTTTACTTGCTACAGAATAATTTACACATAATCAAAACTAATATGAAAGACATTAAAAAATATATTTATTCATTTAAACAATGATTGGTATGGTATTTTTTTTTAATCAGGCCCTGCTATTTGTCTGTCTGTCTGGGTCTGTGAAGGCCTTTACAGCCAGTCAAAACTAAATGGATGTAGCTAAGACCTCTAATAATAATAACAATAATAATAATAATAATAATAATAATACATATTTACACAAAATTGACAGGGAAACATTTTTTGGGAGGGCATACTATCTGTTCTGTAGGTGATTGGCTCTGGTTCCTGCTTTATTGGGGTGTTCATTTCCAACTCTAAAATCCTACACTTGCATTCTTCAATTTTAGCTTGCGCACATGTGTGATCTACTTTTGCCAAGTATTATTTAGATAAGAAAAAAGCTTGTATATAGTTGATCTAAAATATAAAGTTAGCCTATAAACTGCAAAGAAATCTCAAAAGAAATACAACTTTCTTGACTATGAAAAGAGGCTTGATTTTTTTCAGATAGCATATTTATTTTTTCATTGTTTTATTTATAATTTCTATTTTTTTATGTCATTAACGAGATGCTGAGCTGGCATTTGGAAAAGAAATAGGCTACAGTACAGGAACGCAACTCTAGCCCCACGTTTGATTTCTCCTACTGACCTTGAACGCAACACAAAGTGCTTTGTGCTTTTGGCGTTCTGGGTTGTGACGCGCAGTCGTGGAGGCGTGTCTCTGATGAAATCAGCTGGGGCAACAACAACACAAAAGGGGGGTGGCTCTGGCTCAGTCTGGAACAATCGCTCGGCTGGTTAATGCTCGCAGCTTTAGAAAACAGACAACAGAAAACAAAGAAAGAGCCCGCCGGGAAATCGTGCAGCACCGGATCGAAAGTCTGCAGCGGCAGCAGCGAGTCTTGAGTGTACTTGTTGATCTCTGGGAGACGCTCTGAACAGAGGAGGTAGTAACAAAAGGAAGGAAGAGGAGGAGGAGGAGGAGGAGGAGGAGGAGGATGTTTCGGGGCAGGGGTCCTGTCTGCAGCTCGTTGTGCTCCGTGACAAAAGGAGAACCGGTCACCTCCTCGTTCCCCCCGCGCCCCTGTCCGGTCTGACTGAATCGGCCGAACCAGCAGCAGTCTGGCATGTGGGTCAATTCCGGAACCGTCGGAAGGTAGGGACCCCCTACTGCAGGCACACCGTGTCACATGTTGTGCACAAAGCAACCCCCTCTCTCCCTCCACACCCACCGCTGCACATTTCCTCCTAAAGAATTTACAACAAATAATCGTCTCGCGTTCATATGTGCGGACCGCATTTCAGTTTGACTTCATTCCTTTCACGTTGCATAACAAGCCACGCGATCGCCTTTATTGATTCAATAGATATCTCATTGATAAATGATGCTTTACGAAATCACATGCCGCAGAGACCGCTGAGCTGCGTGTAAATACGGATTCATCGTCATTGCGTGGCGGATGGGCTTGGCACATTACGCAAGCCTTAGCGCATCATTTTGGTGCACCTGCCTTTTTCTAACATGTGAAGGCTACACATGCATGCTTGTTTTGTTCTTCCACAATATGTGGGACTAAACCAACAATGGATGCCATTTGAGTCAAGTTGAAAGAAAGGAGGGGAATGAATGAATGAACGAATGAATGAATGAGCCAGGTGGGCATGAATGGCTGCAGGGAGGTTCTTTTCATTGATGAGTGTAGTCACCCAACACCAGGCTATTTGCGGATCAGAACGGTCTGTGACAAGAGATTAAGGTGTAAAATCTTAGAAAGACCACAGAGGCACGCGCCTGCACGCACGCTTTTTTTTTTTAGCAGCACACACACAGGCATACAAACGCATTGTAATGATGATCCTTTGGCCATGACGTCACCAGAGATATTGTGTTACGCAGGTGGCTGAGGATGGGGTGTAGAAAGCCGCTCACTTCCACCTGGACATAAATGAGCAAAGTTCTGCATGTTTCTCTAACCACACTTTCAGTCACACAGCTATCTGCAGGCTAGAGATAAACAAAGAGCTGCCATAAAAATAGTAATGTGTAATTCTTGTTTATTTTGATTTTTCTTGCTAATACATGCCACTTTTCCTCCCAAAATACTTTACTTTGTGACACATTTATTTCATGCATCTGTCCTCCAAGACGCCTCCCAAGATCCTGCCATTTGCACACATACACATGCGTTTACGCCAGTAAGGCTTTGCTCCTTTCCCACTAATGTTGTTAATAAACCAAAGATCATGAATTTGTAACGAGGCTTGCTATTATTCTGATTAGGCATTCAGCTTTGTGTGTGTGTGTGTGTGTGTGTGTGTGTGTGTGTGTGTGTGTGTGTGTGTGTGTGTGTGTGTGTGTGCGT